TTTGCGCCAAGGAGGGCGGTGGGCACCTCAAGGGCGGTGGGCACCTCACCTTTCATGGGCCAGGCGAGGTTTCATGTAAAGCCGCCAAAAAGGGGAATTCAGGGACTGAGACAGCTGAGGCCTAAGGAATGCCAGGACTAAGGAATGCCGGGTGTGGACTCCTCCGGGGGGTTGTTGGACTAGATTTCTCAGTAGAGAGGTTAGAATAAGGGTACCAACTTCTTTTTTCTGTAGTCTATTTTAGTAGAACCCTCCCCCCAAAAAGGGCAAACAGCACTACTGGGGGACCTAGCGGACAAAAAGAATGCGAGGTGTGGTGCGGTGCTGCGGGCTGGTTGATTCAGGTGCTGAGATGGGCCATAGCCGATTTATGCAAAGTTGCCAACTCCGAGAGAAAGAGCAGCCAATGTGACTGCAGTTGTTCCAAATGTCAGAAAGGTTTTTACAACAAATGCAGGAATGCAAGCCGAAAGATGACACAGGTTCATGGACTGCCGTCATGTATTTCGCGAGCCCAGCCCTTGTGGACACATCATGCAGAGTGAGCACATGGGACCCCCTCCCCCCGGCCATGACCCACCACAGATTTGGACGATTCGACCAATTGCTTATCACCTCCCGTTCGTTTCCCTTAGGGGACAGGGCGCATAGCCCCCGATCTAGAAACTTGATCCCACTTGCCCACAAGCACCCAGAAATAGAAGGCTAACCTTTTGGGGCCACGAAAATGAAAATGGGCCAAAATGGGAAAACTATGGGAAAACCATATTTGTCAGCAAGGGGGCTTCCCATGTCTGAGGCCTTCCCTTTTGGCTTCCCCTTACAGCCCCCGGGTTGGGTTCCTGCCGTAACCCCCCCCCCCGGCCCCCCCGCCGGACCCCAGAAAAACGCCTCGCAGGGGTGGTGGGAGTCGCCATCGGCACCATAGGCGTGGCCGGCACCCGCAGCGTCCTCGAGCGACGGACCGCTGTCAACCCGCGCCGGGCACCCTCGCACCAAGCGTGGAACCTGACGTGTCGGGGTCCAAACGTTTGGACCCCTCCTGTGGGCTTCATGTGAATTGGTGCCAGAAGGCAATACCTGCGGTATCTGAGATAGTTACCAAAAACACACTGAGGTTCAAGCTGCATTTTTCTAAGACCCAACCTGACCCAAAGCTGCTTGACATAGAACAAGTCTTCCAAACAAATGCAGCATGTATGGCCTTTGTGTTCCATTTCTTAGGGCAGCTTTGCTCATGCATACGTCCACACGGACATCCGCCTCGCAGATGTTCTCACAATCCAACGCTCCACGATGCGCAGCCCCAGCAAGAATTAAAGAATGTTAGAACAGATACAAGGGAAAGGGTAAGTGCCCTTTGATTCTTTGGGTTACACCCCTTTGGGAAGAGAAGCCATTGCGGCAGACTGAGTGCAACCCTCTGGATGAGTATGATAATGCACACCCTGCATTAAGGTGGCCGATGTTCAAGGGCCCTGTTTCGGGGCAAAAGGTGTACGACTCCGTAGCCAAGGGACAGGGCCGGAGTGGCCGGGACAATCATCAGCGGCGCCGTCTGAGCGGCGGCCTCCTGACAAGCGGAGGGAGTTTGAATTTTGACGTTCTGTGGACTGTTGGGAAAGGACGCCCATACCAGTTGACTGGCGTATGTGTTTTCACGCCATGGAAACGGCACCAAGACCTCCAAGTGATCATTCCATGGGGCGAAAAAGGCGCCCATGTGTTGGCAGAACCTCCCCCCCCCCACCAACAATTAGCAAAGGAAACGTGGGAAGCGCTGAGAGTGCAGCGGTGCACCCCCAATGGCCACAAACCATGCGTATGGTCGACAAAGGGAGCGTTCCAGCGTATGTACCCCCAACCCGAGCAGCATACACGACCTTGCCCCTGTCAAGGTCACAGTCCATGTAAAGATGCACATAGGCATATCTGGCTCAGTCTTAAGCATGGGCCCTTACCTGCAGTTGAAACAAGTGATGCTGCAGTGGGGATCATCATTCCAGGGTTTCTTAGGTCGTGCGAAATGGATTTCGTCCATCCACAGTATGAACCCCTCCCGGAGCCATCTTGGCCTGCAGCTCCAGCTCGGCGACGCCTTTCTCGGCCGGCGGGGTCATGAGGCCGTCGTCCTGCGCTCGACGGAGCTCAGTTCGGGTTTCCGGACACGCGAAGATGGTCTGGGACTTAGCCAAGTGCAGAGCAACCCGAGTTGCAACCCGAAAACCATGGTTGTAAGTGCCCCATAACCAGGAGTATTACCCTTTTAGCTAAGTCCCAGAACATCTAAGCGGCGGAACTCCGGCGTTTTGGTGCCAAAGCAAGTCATGTGGATGGTTGAGAGGTCCGTTTCGCGCACAAGAAACCATGGTTACAACCATTGCCCGTTGGTATTTACAAGGGAATCAGGGTTTCTTAGGTGGCGCAGGGTTTCGAACCTCCACACCAGACTGAGATGTTGGGCCCTGAAGGTGGGTTGCCGTGCAGGTTTTCGCCGCGACAAGTCGAGGCAGGCAGTGCATCGGTGGCCATTCGCCACCGAACGACGGCAAAGAGCTCAGCCCCCAAACCAGGCCGAGAATCTCGAAGAGACCTTTCCCCCGCACAGCTTTGAAGAACCCAAAAGCGTTCCAAGCACCTCGGTTGAATACCTTTTAATACGTTTTAATACTTACAAATGATGTCCATCCTTCTTTGCGCAGGCATCAGTTGCAGGTTCGTTTGCCTTTTCCTATCGCCCTCCTGTTCATTTAGGCTGAAGTGCGACTCTGATCAGTACATTCCTGAATGCTGAGCAGAGGTTCCCACGCCCTGAAGAATTGTTGTTGGAGTGTTTGGGGGGGGGTTTACTCCGACGGCTCTGACTGCCGCCCCCCCCCACCCCAAGGCCCCCCCCCCCGCCCACCCCCGCCCAACCCCACCTTCCTCCCCCCACCCCGCCTTCCTCCCCCACACCACACCCCCCACCCACCCCTCACCCCACCAGGCTCCTGAGGCGGTGTTTTTGGGGGCGTCCACACCACGTTCTCCGTCCGCACGTCCACCACAGCCACTGGCAAGGTCCAGCGGGTCAGCCTCCCCTCGGTTGTGGCACTCCAGCTGTCTCCAATTTTTCCTCCCCCCCAAACTGGCCTTATGAGTTTACCATTGTCAAAGTCACCCTCGAAGTGGTGGTTTAAAGGGAAACCAGCCCGGTTTCTGACTTTAATAACCCTTAGACACGGTCAAAATAATGGCCCCCAGCCAAAGGAAAATGAGCGGGCTGTTGTTCTTTGCGTCCCCTCCAGCCCAACAAGCATATCAAATAAAGACGCCCAGACCCCACAAGGATGCCGCGTCCATCACATGGCCCAACGGATTGCTGCTATGTATCTTTGTTTTTAATTGTTTCCGCAAAAGCATCATTTTCTAAAAACAGCATCATTTTCTAAAGGACCTTCGAGGGAAGATTGGGACCCCTGTCACTTGGTGCCCTTGGTGTCCGATTCAGGAGCTGCCAGTCAATAGACGCCTTGCGGAGAATAAGGAAAGCTCGCAAACCGTCAATGGCTGGATGGGGGTAACTTTTCTTCAAAGCTGTCAGATGCCAATTGCATTTGCAGGGCTGATGTCCGTACCAGATATAAGCAAAAGGATTGCTCCGAGAATGGGCCCATTATCAAGGCAGAAATGAGCGGCTTGCTGTTAGCGACCTTCCAACCCAAACGGACTTCCACAGCCCCCCGCCCGCGCAGCTGCGTCCAAGAAGCATCGCTGGTCTGGTAGAAGGTCAAGCCTGCTCGGGACTGGCTCACGCGCCAGCCCTGAATCACCACTGGAGCCTCCTGGCCAGAAAGGAGAGGCAGAAGGGGACACGTCTTTGGCTTGGACGGCCCAATCCCAGTTGCCTGGAGGGAGCCTTTTTTGGTTGTGCGCTGTCTCTTTGCCAAATGGGCTCCATGCTTGCATGGGTGGCTGCATCCTTCCATAGCTGAGAAAGCGTTCACCACCCCTTTGTTTTATGCCCCGCTGATTGCTCACAGTACGGAAAACACATTACCCAACCTGCCAACCAACAAAACAGATTGGAAGAATGTCTTCCAACTTCCCGGTCCAAAGTGCACCATGCTTGTTGGTAAGGGGTTCGTGCCTGGCCCTGAAAGAGCACAACTCATTTGGTGGCCGCATTCGAAACAAAGGCACGGTCATCAGGGGAGGAGCCCAAGCCCCTTCTCCACCCACTGTTGTACTCTTTCCGCTCTCTTTCGCCCCTTTCCTTTTAAAAAAAATATGCCATACATTTACATTGCCTAAGAGGGGGGGTATCACACCCCGTGCTTTCCACCACCTTCATCTGCATACGCGGGTCCCGATCCCCCATACCTCCCCCCATGCCTCCCCCGCACGTCCGGCCTTGAGAGCTTCCACGATGGGCTTCAGGTCCGGCACTTGCAGAACTTGATCCAGGGCCTGCCGCGCGAAAGCGGGGGAGGGGCCCGGAGAGCGTTTGGGGGGGGGGGGGGATGTCCGTCTAAGAACACACACGAAAAGAGGGTTCACCTGGTGGGTTCCCTCTAAAAAAACACACACACACACACACACACACACCAAAAAAAAACAGAAGTCGACATTTTGAGACACCTCTATAACGCTATATGGGCGCGTCGCTTTGAAGATATCCTTTTGGGAATGCGTTGAAACGGTAAGCCAAGGAAAACTTGATCATTTCGTTGGGGCCGGCGTTTGTAAGACACACACCCGCACCTGAGCGTTGCCCACAGACCTCCTTGGATCATCCCCAACAACCTCATAAAGGGGAACGGGCCGGGGGAAATAGAAGCAATGAAGAAACACGGGTCCCCCGAAATGCCAGGACTGAGCATCTCCCATCTCCAGGGTAGCGCCAGGCGCCTTGTAGGTGGCGTGGCCTCAGGCGATCGCCAATCTCTCTCTCGCTCTCCCTCTCGAATCGCCCGGGACAAAGTGGGGACCTGAAAAACACGTGGCGCTTTGCAGCCAACTTGGCTTCCAACTCAAAAACGCGCACCGCCCTGGGCAAAGGAGGATAGTTCACCCAACCGAACATCAGAAACGGATCCCCAGTGAACACTTGGCCGCCACATGCGCCAAAACCTCAACGTGACGTCAAGATTCACCTGGGCCCCGTCCTCAGATCCCCAAACCTAAAGGTTCAACTCTTGGTGGGTTTGGATGGAAACTGCCACCACTACCCTTTTTTCCTTGTCGATTTTAGGGGAACCCTCCCCCAAAAAGAGAAACGGTAAAAGGGCACTACTGGGGGACCTAGACTCAATACACCCAAAAAAAAAAAACGCTAAAACGCTAAGGGGACGGCCAGGAACCACCAAGCAACGGTTCAGCTCCCGCCGAGTGGCTGGCCAGCACCTGGTTCTCCAGACCCTCCGCCGAGAAATCCAGCAGCTCCACGAGCCACTGCCGCACCATGGCGTGCCTCGAAGCGGGCGAGGCGCGCCCCCCCCCCCCGGTGCAACTGTCGTTGGCTCGTGGAAATTAGGAAGATCCTAAACAGTAGAGAAGTTAAAGCTGGAAAAATGTCCTTACAGAACTCCAGCTCCTTAGCTCCGTATTTAAAAGCAAATTTGGATACCCCAAGCTCCTTGGCTCCCTTCCAACCAGCTACCCCTCATGTATATTGTCACCAATAGATATAACCTGCTTACTTGGTGGGTTGAACACCCAAGAGTAGTCGTGATGTTGCCATTGGAACGCCCAAGAATTCTCAAGCGTCCATTCAAAAACTTGGCACATCAAGCCTCAACGGAACAACTAGCAAAGGTTGCCATCTCCCACCAACATAAAAGTAAAGACCGTTCATGCCAAATCCCCCACCTCCCCCTCCCGCAAGGCCGAAGTATGAGACCAGCGGGATAAGGGGGAGTTGAGCACAAAATCCTGGGCGAGTCCCAGGTCACTTAGGCGGCTGTCAAAACACCGGAACTGGGCATATCTTAACAGCATGCTTCCCAAGAAAATCCTCCTGGCGCGTGAATATTGACAAGTGCCCAGTTGCCTCCCACCTGCCACGCGCGTCAAAGCACTGCGGGCCCTTTGAAGACGGAATTTGTGTGGCGCGCGCGCTGGTCGCCTCAAAAGATGACAGCAAAGAAATTGCATCTCATGGGCCTTGGACTGATTCAACTTCAAGAGCACCCAGTGCCCAGAGGCCCTTGGCCCAACCGCTCTACACTAAAAGGAACCTTTTTGTGTGTGGCGAACCCTGTGAACAAAAAGTTAAAAGTGGAAAAGGAACCACTGGGACTACTATGAGGGCCTCGAAAAATTCGAGAGAGATTGTGGAGTGCTTGCAAGTGAAATCACTTCATGAGCATTGGAACAAATTGCGAGTACAGGGATCCATCAGGGCAACATTCCCCAAAATCCATCTGGCTCTTCTGCCTCCAGGTCGGGGTGAGCTTCTGTTTTCGTAAGACTCTCCCGTAGGAATCCGCAAGCGTTCCCCCGAGCCGCTGCAGAGCTGACGCTCGGCCGGCCCGGCTCCTTGGCACTGGCGCCGTTTTGCGTGCTGGAAATGACTTGCCAAGCCAGCCCAGGTCGAGGCCAAACTATGCACGGCCCCCGCAAAGGGAAACCAACCGGTGGTGGTGAAAACAGAATATTCAAGCAGCATGAAGCTTCTGGAATGGCCTCCATCAGAATTTCTCGGTTGTTCAAGGGCCTGTCTCCAACAACCACCTGCAGCGAGCTTATGTTGCGGTTTGATTCATCTTCGCAGGGCAGCCACCCGCGCAGCTTCCGTTTGAACTGACGGACACTCATGTGTGGCAACACTTCGACCAATCCCTCCCCCCCAGACAAATGTCGCACCGTAATCTGTCTTGCCATGGCAGATTTCTTGGCTGCCAACTGCTGCTGAAATGGTTCTGGTAAACTGGCTTCTGCCTTGGCTAAACTCTTGCTGGCTGACCTCGTTTCAGCTCGAATGTTCCGGATGCGGGTTGGCCCAAGTGCAGCCACTTGCTCCCGAGGAAATTGCAGTGGCAGTTGGCAAATTGAATTGTCGCCTTCCCCCCAATCCTGCTTGCCCACACACCCTCTTTTGAGATTGATTTCAAGTGTGAGCTCATCAAAAGAGGCACAGAATTAATTCTTGTTTAAATACAATAAAACTGTTCTGGTGTCCGTTGCTCTTCTTGGGTGCAAAAACACTGCCTTCTTGCCACCAGCGGCGAGCCACAACGCGTCACGGTCACGCCGTTGTTGAAAATCCGGATGTGATAGATCAACAGTGAGCATTGGAAGGAACAAACCTGCTATCCAACCCTCACCCCACCCACACCCCACCCACACCTTATCGAATTCTTGGGCTAATCGGCTCATGTTTGAATTCAATGGATCACACTCATCTTCATCAATGTTTGGAGGCCGCCAACGAGGCGAACTTGCCGTTGGCGTCCATTGAAATGCTGCTCACCAAAAGAAAGGGCCCCAGCCGAAAAGACCCCACTCTCTGCCCAGCCGGAGACTTGACGGAGCATCAACCCCACCATGGCATAGGGTCAGCTTCCCTGTAGTTAGGGGCCGTTTCGACTCACCCCCTGTTGCAATCCCAAACCCAATCAAGAACACCAACCTGGCAGGGCTGCGTCGGTTTTTGAGCTGCCACCTTCAAGCAATTCATCTTCGTCGAGGCTTGTTGTGAAAAGGAGCCACACGGGGAGGTGAGCGCCCTTCCAGAAAGGGAGCTGCTTTTGAACAGCAAAAAGGGAAAACCACACATAGACAACCCGCCTGGAAGCTTCTCAAATCAGAGAACTCCTTTTTTGGTGTGGCAAGGGAATCCAAAAGGAAACCAACCATTGCCCTGGCATAGGGGGTGGGATTCGGGTGGATTTGTGGTGGGTTTATGGAAGGTTGAGGGTGTGTGTTAGGGCTTGTTTCGTGTGGGTTTGGGGCGAAATCACACAAAAGGCCGCAAAGGCGCCAAAAAAAGCACAAAGCCGCAAAAGCCAAAAGTTCAGCCCGGACTGTTTAAAACCAAAAGCCAAAACGAATCCCGAGAAAAAGAAGAAGAAAAAGAAAAAAACGGCCCCACCGCCTTAGTGGACCCTCTCTTCCAGAGGATGTCTGCATTGGTATCGGGCCCCTTTCTTCTTCCAGAAATCATGGAATCTGTCCACGCTTTCCCTTGAATCTATCAAAGGGCAAGTCGACGTCGTGCCAACAAAAAGGGTCCAAACGCCCAAGCTGCACCCAAACCACCCGCAACCACATCCAATCCCGGCTGGCACCAACCAAGAAGGGCTGCGGCTGAGGCGCAAGTAGTTCCTCGGCGGAACTCAGCGGCCAGATCCTACTGTGATCGCCATGTCTTCTAGGTCCTCCAGTAGAGAGGCTAGAAAGGGTACCCTTTTTTCTGTAGTCTATTTTTGTGGGGGGACCCTCCCCCAAAAAAGGGTAAAAGTGCACTACTGGGAGACATAGTCTTGGAGCCACCAAAGTCCGTGGTCCGAAAAGGGAACAGCCCGGAAAGGAGACCAAAAGATCCAAAGCTTTGGCCAGTCTCCTGTGGACTGCACTCTGCGTGAAGTTCCCCGGCCAAGTTTGGTGGAAGTCTTTCGCACATCTTCACAAGTCCAGGTGGCTTTGCCGCTGGGACAAATGGAATCTCAAAGAAGCCTCTTCACTTGTTTGCCTTTCGACCCTCTAAGAGCAAGCCCCCACCCAGACCGCACCACGGGAGAACCAAAAGGCCAAAAGGTCAGCGTTGGAGCATGTTGACCCCAGATAAATTTCAATAGGGGGTGTCCCTGGGTTTTGTGGAGAATCATAGGTGAACCCACACTTGGTACCCACTCACTGAGTCGGTTGAACATGACTTGTCAAAATAAGGGGGCCCAAGCATTGCATGTTTGATTGGCTTCCTTTAGGTTCCCTTTAAACCACCCGGAAATCCCGTAACCTCCAAGCAGGTAGGGGACGTTCTTCCCCATGCTCCGAGTCCGAGTGGCTCCACCAGTGTGAGCCTGGCCACATGGTGTTGCAGCCGCACTTGCGCCTGGCAGTTGCTTGCGGATAGTTTGGCTCCTTTCTTTCATTTGACTTCGGTCACTCGGGGTCCATAGGTGTCCTTTTGAGGGAAATAGATGGCCAAATGGAACCGCTCCAAATGGCCATGGGTCAAAAGCCAAATCGTACCCCCAGTGAACATCCCAATCCCCACTAAAATGGACTAGAATGGGTGGTGCGCCTGCCCCAAAATGGTACCGTTGGTTTTGACCCACAGCCATTTGACTGTGGTGCTTAAGCTACCAAGTGGCTTGGGTCACTCGGGACCCTCCTTAAGCTACCAAGTGGCTTGAACATAGGTGTCCTTTTAGGGGAAATAGATGGCCCTGGTGGATGCTTAAACCACCAGGTAAACCAGGGCTATCTATTTTCCTACCAAAACAACTAAAAAAGAAACCTATGGGCTTGAACCCAAGCTTCATGGCTTTTCGGGCATTCGTGAGGATGCTTTCTCCAGATGGGCCCGAGCCATTGACCGCCCACGGATCTCGACCACACCCCGGCCCCCTCGGAACAATATGCAGGAAACCAACGGTAACCATAGTACCCAAAAAACACCAGCGGGCATTCCCAAAAAGCGGCCCAATAGCTTCATTGCCCACTGGGTCTTCAAGCCACTTGTAGGTTTCAGCCAAGGCAAGGGGACTCACCAGAAACACCTCTCATCACCATGGTGATAACTTGATAACCTACTAAGTAAGTTGGTTGAACATCTTCCATTTGCTTAAGCCCCCTGGGAAAAATAAACATATGTCCGGTCCAATAGTGTGATAGGTTCCCATTCCAAACCAACAACAAAACATATTCAGCAAGTGGAAGACGTCCAAGAAGCGGGTTCAACTGCTTCACCCCCCCCCCCCCCAACTCCCCAAGGGCCATCCGGTAAGCGGCCTTGACCGCCTCAGTGTGGTGGCCCTTCATGGCATTCTGCTTTTCAGGTGGCAGGGCCTCGCTCCAGTTGCGTGACCGGACAAGGAGGCCCCCGTTTTGGGGAAGGGTTCCCCCTTTTTCTCTCGGCGCCTTGCTTCTACGGTCCAGTTGGGGGTTCAGCTCTTTTACTCGAGCAGTGACAGGAGGCCCCTGTTCAGGGTTGACCTCTTTTTTTCCTTAGCGGCTGCTCCTCCCCACGAGAAGAATCACAGAGCTAGGAACCTTCAGCGAGCTGCAAAAAGATAGGCCCTTGGCCTAATCACTGCACCACAGCCAAATAGAAAGGATCAGCCGCTTTTACTCACAGCCTAGAGTCTAGAGCCTCAATTAGACTGGGCTGTTCAAAATGGAGGGTTGGCCAAGCCTAATCCATAATCCACGACAAAAGGGGCCCCTTGCGTAACCAAACATAAGGATTAAGGATTCCCTTTGAACAGCCGAGCTGAAGCACGGGCTTGGCCTGCCCTTTTCCAAGCCGTAGACTGGTCATGAGAGACACCCGGGGAAGCTCAGACAAGGTGCCAGATCCTCTTGGTTTTCGAACTCCATTTGCAGCACCTTCTGCACGCCCTTCCTGAGTTGCAGCGTCATGGATGTTCCACCCACTTTGAGGTTACACTAAGGAGACTATTAACTCTGCTGCGGGCTCCGAGCGAATGGGGGTGAATCCAAAACTCGAGCCGTTCCCCTGTTCAACAAATGTATGCAAACGTACATAGGTTGCCTCTAACGTTTCAAAAGTTGATTGCAAACTGCTCGTAGGCTTGGGCGCAACCCCAAGCCGGGAAATGTGGAATAACAGGAGCAGGCGTCGAAGCCGTTTACTGACAACAGGATAGCACCACGGGCCCGATTTACGAAGCAAGCGTTACTCACAAAAACCAAGAGATGCCCTGCCCCCCAGTGCCCAGGAACGCTGGAAGAAAAAGGGACTCCTTGTTTGGGGCTGTCACCTTTGGTGGGGAACCACCAACCAAGGCCCAAAGAGCATCACTAATCAACAGAAAGCCCCCTCATTCCTTGACAGAACCCTCATCTGAGAAAGGGGTTCTGCTCGAAGGGTTCCAAGTTCTAAGTACCATTCTGCTGGCTAGGGGGCCCTGAATTGTTGGCTCTGACCACTGAACCACTAGAAATCTGAGCACCTCGTGCCCTGCCATTTTTCCCACTCGCCTCATGTCTGTGCGGCGCGAAAATCCGGGCCTAACAGCGGAATCCGGGCCTGGGGCTGTCTGTCGGAATGCAACTCGCGACCCTTCCAAAAGGCCGAGATTCGGCCAATTATACGGTCCGAAACCCAAAACAAAGGATCCGCAGGAGGACCTGAGGAGATTCTAGGCTTATTCTAGGCAGTGACGTTTCTTTGGGGTGCGCCAGATTGATAAGAAGTGCCCTCGCAAGCCTGCCGCGGGATGTTCCGGGTTTCCTTGCGTGCAATCCTGTGGAAAGGACGCAGGCCCTTCTTGCCACTTGGCAAACCGGGTGCTTTTTTCGCCCCAAGGTCAGGGGATCATGTATGCTCATTGCACGCCCAGGTCAGGAAACCAAAGTTTTAATCAACCTGCAAGTTCTACAACACCTCCAAGACCTGACAAATCGAAATTTAGTACCCTTCAATGGGACCTTTGTGCATTATGCATGTATGTCGCTTTTCTCCTAAATGAGCCCACAACTAGGCAAAAATCCATTCTGGCCGACCCCCAGGGCCGGACCGAGGGCCCAGGCCTCTGTGATCAATGGCCAGTTCCAGACATGGCAAGGCAGGCCCTGAACCACGTACAACGTACACGTCTCTTTCTGTTGATGCTTTCCATCCCCAAACCACCCAAGCATAGGTGTCCTTTTTGGGAAAATAGATGGCGGTAGTTGACTGAACCACCAGGTAAACCAGCCCTCTATGTTTCAACCAAATCAACCAAAAAGGACACCTATGCACCCAAGGGGACGGCGTTATTCTTTGTGGTTTATGCCGATAGTGACAAAAGAGTAGCGGCATATCCCGTTCAAATCTGCGAGGTCGTGGTTCTGGATGAATGTAAGAATGATACCACAGATCGGGCCTCGCCGCAATGTCACACGTTCAGACATCCGGGCAAAAGACACATGCAAAGTTGCATAGCTAAACATTTTGCATATCGTGGGAGGGTGCCATCTAGACCCTGATAAAAAGGAAATCCTGTCTCTTAAAATTGAGGGTGGAGGGGGAGCCTCACAAAATGGTTGTTTACCTGTCGGCGTCCATTTAACTTAGCCCCAAAAAGGATAAAAGATACCGTGTCGAGCAGGCGGCCTTGGATGCCTGAAAAGGCGTAGGGGTGAAACACATCTTTCCCACGGCCATGCTAAGAAAAACTGGCCGCAGCCCTTCACGATGCTGAGCCTCAAGCCCCTGGAAAAATTATCAAATATGTCCAGTAGTTGGAGATTCCCTTAAACCAACAAGGAACTTAAAATTATTCTCAAGCAAGTAGAAGATGAAATGAACAAATACACATCCTGCTTAAAATCAACCTCGAGTCAAATTGCAGCTCAGCGATCGTGGCATTGCCACCATGGGCATTACAAATTACTACAGGCGCCTCTTTACAATTTGGGACTTTTGGACGCGCCTGCATGCTCCAACGTTCGCAGTGTCACAGCATTAGGTTTTGAAAGCAATGATTCAACCCATTTCTGGCGGGCGCGAACTGTGCGCGCGAAGTGAGCTCTCTGTGGGCACCCTCGCGCCACTCCACTCGCCCTTCAGAAAATCAGGTGAGACTAGCTGCCGCCCTTGACTGCAAGCGGTCGGCCATCCAAGGGCCCATTGACACGTACCCTGCGAGTGCAAGAAACATCAGACAACAGAGGCAGAAAGGCACAAAAGGTACAAACAATGGTATGTGCCGCAAAACCATCTTTTTCTCAGGATCATGCTAGAGGAACCCACCCAGGGTGACACCACGTGGTTAGGCCCCCAAATGCCCACTGCTCAGCGGTAGGCGCGCAGGGTGACGCAAAGCCCCACGATGGCAACAGCGCACAGGATCCTTGGAGAGTCGCAGGCTTGCGTGCTAAGGCACTTGAAAGCGGGGAGGAGGGGACTTCTTCGCTGAGTGGCTGGTAACCATCGCTATGACTTACCATCGCTGTACAATCCCTTGCGTGACTTCTAGCCAGGGTTGCTAAGCTCTTAGCTACCTCCGCCTAAGTAGCTTTGCAGTGCTTCTAGGCGCCAAGCCCTTCTTTGGCTTGAGCTGTAAGAGGGGAGAAACATTCAACCACCACGGGCCGAGTAAAAATGCAGTAGAGGCGTCCATTGGCACAGGATGTTTTGGGTTCCTATGTGAACGCTCCGCCTCGGCAGGATTGCAAGAACTGACGCCTGATGCGCTCGAGACTTTGAGTGAGAAAGCGCTTGCACAACCAATCACCTCTTCGAGCCAACCAGGATTGCAGTCAAATTCTGGCACCACATTGCTACAAAGCTCTACCCCAAACCGGGTAAAGCAAACAATCAAATGGCCCTTTGACCGAGGGACTGTCCCCTACTATCCTTCATCTGCCCACGTTTGATTGTGGCTCGTTTGGGAAACCTTTTCCCAAAAACGAGGCCAGAGTACCTGCTACCCTGCAAACCCTACTGTAAGCCCTCATCAAAAAGCCTTTGCGCCTGTCACGGAATTTGGCCCTGTTGGTATGTCACGCTTGCTGCCCAAACCGCCCGAGTCAAACGCACCTTTGCTTGTTGGTTGCCTGGGTTGGTCATGAACCCTCCGGCGGCTAGAGGCTTCATGACCAACCCCACCAACCCCCAAGGGGCGCTCCTTGCCCAGCACCAGCCGAGCCGCTGGCGCCGCCAGTGGCTGCTACCCACCGTAACCTCGGGCTCCGCGTCATCGATCTCCCGCGGCGTGTCGGCCTGCGATGTTGCGGGCAGGGGTCGCCCATAAACGCGTGGGACGACCCTTACCAACACGCCAGAACCCAGGGGTGCTTGTACATAATCCCTCTTACATTCCCCTTGGGCAAATGAACCCCAAAGGTATGACCAAAAAGTATGTGCTTCCACCGTTACACAAGAACAAAGATCTGTCTATGCCGATGGTATGGGGCAACACCATGTTGCAGAGTCGGTCGAAGAATGGTTCCAGCAAACACCTTGTACTTTGCGCGCCACTAAACATGCGCAAACTGAGGAGGAAAAAGCCACGGGCAAAGAAGGCCTGGTGCCGGCTAACTGTTCTTGATTGAAACTGAATAGACGCGCGATTGGAGAGACTTTCCACCCGCAGTGGGCTCCAGAATGAGCCCCCTTCATAGCAGTCTCACTTGCTCACACGACCCCCAAATAAAGGAGCAACCCGCTGAGGCCCTGACTTACAGTAGGCCGAAAGAGCCATTCAAACCATTGGTGTTGAAACAGCTGCACCAGGGAATCCCTGTAGATTGAGAAAGGGGGTGGTTGCCCAACCTGGCTCGCCCAGACCTAGGACAAAGGGCGCCCTATTTGATTCAGTGGTAATTGAGTACTTGATCTTAAATTCATCATGATGAAAACCCGATTCAAAAACGGTCTACCCAGAACCATGTAAAGAGTTTTCCGACGGCAAATGTCCGCAGCTCTTGGTGGTTGAGATTCTTCCTTGCTAACCTTCAACCCTAACTTCGTCTACCCGGGTTTGATCGTGGCTCAACTGGACCCGCTCAAAGGGAGGAAAAAGGCGCCACTGGAGGTCTGGGGTGGACTCCCCTCCCCTCCGATTGACCGAGCCGGCCTTCGGGGCAGGATGGCCCTCAGGCATCTCGAGGCCTGAGACACATCGAACCCCTCGCGTTCGCCAACTTGGATGGTCAAGCCACTGGCAGGTTCAAACGTGGAAAAGGGCCGAACCCAAGTTGGGCCCGGTTTGGCATGTGCATCGCTGGCCTCTCCTCGGATCCGGCGAAAAGTGACCAACTTTTGGTGGGTTAAGTACTGAAACCCGACCACTAAACCAACTACAAACCACTAAAGAGCTCAGTTGAACCGGATGGCTGGGAGCCACCAAGACGACCTACTTACCGGTATAGCTCCCCCAGAAAAGGGCAAAAGGGCACTACTGGGAGACCTAGCTTTGGACTAAACTGGCCCAAAGCGGGCCGGACGCGGCTTGAGCATCCCTCGCGCATCCACCTCTCCCGCGCCTGCCGCTGCAAGGCTCGCGAAGGGGCACCCCGCCGCCGCCGCCTTTTCAGCGGCCGCCGCGGCCGCCGGCGCGGGCGCCGGGGGCGGCACCGGCTCTGCCTGGTGGCGGGATCTACTGCCCCCAAATCACTACCCCCAGAAGCCGAAGGAGATAGAAAATGTCATTCTGATAGGTTTTTGGGGGGGAATTAGTGTTTGTGGGAGTGGTGCCGTTTGTAGGGACAGGCGGCTGCCTGATGTCAGGTAAGACACTTCCAGCTGGTTCATGGCGTCAAAGGTCGTCACCCTCTTCGCTAAGCCCCCAGCAGAAAGAAGCCGCCCTACTCCCCGCTGGCAAAGCTCTGCGCGTGGATATGCACAGGTTTACACTACCCCTTTGCCATTTAGAAACCTCCGCTTCGCTCACTGAACTCCAGAACCCCATGCCTCGAAGCCGGCCAGGGAGTCCAACTCCTGCGGGCCGGACAAACATCAGACGCGGCCGCGGCGTCTTAGGCGGAACTCCAAGCTCTGCGCCGACACGACCCTGCGCTTCTTCATTGTGGGGTCGGCGAGCCTTCCTGACGTTGCTAGTTTCAGGCCGTGCGGGGCGAGGGCGCCTTCTGTGAGTTTCCCGCTAAGGTTCGCAGAAAAGCGAGGCAAGGGCCCGCTACGCCTGAAAAGCCACAGAAAGCTTTCGGGACCCATCACCAAAGTCGAAGCTTTCAGGATCCTCCCAACCTGGGAAACAAAAAGGAACACACAAATACTAAAAAAAACGGAAGCCAAGCACCAAACACGGAAACCAAGCCAACCCCCAAACTGGGCTGTGTGAGAAGGCCCCGGCCTGAAAAATCCGCGTGTTCAAGAAGAAGGCGTAGTTTGCCTCCTGCACCATACCTCGGCAGAGGACCCTCAACAATGCCGAGTCTCTTACCCTCCCCCGAATCCCCGAACAATCATAGAAGCTGACAGGGGGGGGTTTTGGAAGACTCTTCCGTGAGTCTCAACCAACTCGTGTATTTTGCAAATCGGAAGTAGGGAACCCGAATGATTTTAACAAAAAGCAGGCAGAGACTCAGATGGGCCGAAAGCTCACACATCGACCCAGCGACACTTCGGCGACAGTTCGCAGCTTAAGGGTGCCATGTCCTGCAGCTCTGGCAGAAAACGGGAGTCCCCTGAGTATGACAAACACTCATATAACCGGAACCCTTGAGATGCGCAAGCACAATTTCCTCGTTCCCTGCTTTTGCTCGATCAGTGGCCAAAATGCATGTCCAAACTGCTTGTTTCCGCTTGGGACCACCGCAAGGAGTGTCTACAAAAAACTGGGCAAGAAAATCAAGGGCCCCTCTGTTCGATCTCGAACACATTAGCTACAATTCAACTCTCGGAAAATGCGGCGGGGACTCAATCACCACCCTCTTAGCACAAAAACATTAGCCCGCCAATTGGCACCAAGCTCCAAAGAAAGCACGAGTGAGAAACACCTCCAGCCAGCGGAGAGCAGGAACAACATTGCTTCCTTCCGACCTCTGGCCCAGGAGTTCACTCAAGTTCAAAATTATTGAATATAACCTGCTCCTGGCCACCCCGTGCAACCATGTTTCCGCAAATGGTGGTGCCCACCTTTTCATGGGGTAAGGGGCATACGGGGGCCTCTCTGTTGGATGGTGCCCTTTTGCGGGATGGTTCTCAAGGGGAACAACAACTACCACAAGTCCCTTTAGCCACGGCCGAGGTGCGATCGGCCGTGGCGCTGTCGGCCCTCAGACTGTCCATGCGGGCCCGGTACATGTTCCTCGGCGTGCGGTGGGGAGCACTTGAACCCAGCGCCCGGATGTTCAAGCCACAGTAAGTAGGTGCTAACCATGGTTCTAACTCGGGCAAGTAGGGTACATCCCCTTTTTTAGCCCTGGTCTACCAAGTGGCTTGAACGCCCCGGTGGCATGATCACGAGCATGTAAGCGTCCCTAAATTTCGGGAGGCCCTTTTTGCTGGGAGCTTCTTGAATCTCGGGAGACATAGACGTCCAAAGTGATATCCTCAAATGCGCCCCCTCCGGAGTGTTTCTTCGGGTTTCCCACCAGGACTCAACAAAAACCATCTCCCAATCCCTTCAAAGTAGTCGCAACCCCGCGGCCCACGGTCCGAGGCTCTTGAAGACCATGGCATCCGGCACCCGCCGGAAGCTGTAGAATCGAACACCTCGAATGGAAGGAGTCAGCCAGCAGTCTGCCAGAGGCAGACCAAATCCCAGCTACGCCAGCTCCGATAAATATGTGCACAGGCACACGCCTTGCAAACTCGCACAAACTCAAGGCAGTACTCCCCATCCAAGTGCTGTAGTTTCATCTTGGTTTGCCTGCAAAA